CTTGAGCTGGGAAGAGCTCCATTATTTCCTGCAGCACAGAATTCAGCAAATCACTGTGGACTTCAGAAAGAGCAACATTCAATGCAGAATCAGTGAAATTCTTCCATTCCTGAACAGGATTCAGTTTAAACGGTAAACAATTATTTATTTCACAAAATGTGTATCTAGTAAATGATAGCAAATATACAGTGATTTAATAATGATAAGTGTGATGTGTGTCTGTACAGGATGAGCTCTGCCTTCATGCTGTGTGCAATCAGAGAGATCTATGAGTCCGGCTCTGCTGAGTTTGTGACCAGTCTGTTGAGCTCTGCCTTCATGCTGTGTGCAATCAGAGAGATTTATGAGTCCGGCTCTGCTAGGTTTGTGTCCAGTCTGTTGAGTTCAGTGAAGAGCTACATTAACCTGCAGAGCAGAGATCTGGACTCTGTTCACTGTGCGGCCCTGTGCTTCACACTGCAGCACTGCACTGCAGCTTCACTCAACCTGCTCTGGACCTCCATACCAGAGGAAGAGCTGCAGAGCATTCTGCCTCTCTTCACACACCTCTCCCACCTCAGGTCTCACTGCTTTTCTCTCTAGCTCTATTATTCTGTTTCTCTGTCTCAGGTCTGTCTGTGTTTCATTCAGTAGCTTTCTGGGTGACGTCTACTAAAAGCCTTGAAGTAGCATTGAATTATGTTTTGTAGCATTGAATTAACTAATTAAAGGCATATTGTTTTATTAGTAGTATTTTAATAATAATTTTAATATTGTTATTTAATATATATTTAAGGGCAGTTATTGGTTTGCATTTATGGGAGCTCTGAAAACACTGTGATTAAAAAAACAGCTCTTCAGTTAATTGAAATTATCATAATCACAGGCAAACAATAAAGGCAATAGAAATGTTTTCAAACATTTCTATCTCAAAAGTACTGAACCATGTATTTATGAAAGGAACCATTATCACACCCAGAATAATTAAGAGCATTCAGAATAATCTTAATTCCTTAAGATTCCCAGTCATACTAAATGATTTAAATTTTCTAAAGCTGTTTTAAGGCTGTTACTGATGTTACAGAATCTGTCCTGATCTAGTGTTCGTCTGTGTTCAGTGTTGACAGACTGCTGTTACTGATTTTACAGAATCTGTCCTGATCTAGTGTTTGTCTGTGTTCAGTGTTGACGGGCTGCTGTTGCTGGTGTTACAGAATCTGTCCTGATCTAGTGTTCGTCTGTGTTCAGTGTTGACAGGCTGCTGTTACTGAAGATGCTTCACTGCTGCAGTGTCTCTGATGTCCAGCAGGAGGCAGCAGCTGTTCTGCTCTCGATCCTTCAGCACAAGCTGGACTTCTCCTGCCGCTCTGCTCTGGATCTGACAGCAAACACAGACTCAGAGCCTCTACATCTGACCGCTGACGACTGCCGTGTGATGTCCAGAGTCATTCAGAGAGCTCACTCAGACACAAAGACACGGCTGATTCTGCAGGACTGTGAGATTCATACAGCTGGAATGGATCAGCTGTTCCCAGTGTTACATTCTGTTCAGCTCTGGTGAGAAACACCAACAGATCACATTCACACACAGATCCAATATAAAAGCATTCAGTATATATATAATGCATTTCTTGCTCTGTCTTTCAGCTGTGATAAACCTCTGCTGCTTCAGTTTCTGGCTCATGTGAGGCCTGAGGAAGCGCAGTCTCTCTCTGGAGCTCTGGGTGAAGAGCTGGATCTCAGTCAGACTCAGCTGTATCTGCAGGTCTGTAGAGGTCTGGAGCTGATTCTGGAATATTCTGAAGGACTGACAGAACTGGATCTGAGTCAGTGCCGTCTCACCGATCACAGCCTGGATCTGCTGCTCCCAAACCTCCACAAAGTGCAAAACATTGAGTGAGTGACTGAAGAAACTCAAAGTGTACATTTCTCAAGTATAATTGTAATAGTTCTTACATTCCTGATTTGTTTTTTGATCTCAGTTTTAGTGGCAATAGCATCACTGACGCTGGGGCTGAGAAAATCAACAGGATCGTCACTCGCAACAGTAACATAAAGACAGTAAGGTGTGTGTCTGAGTGTCACAATGTAGCCCAAAGTTGTTTTTCTGAATTTTTGATTATTTATCAGTTTATCATTCTCTCATTTCATTCATTGTATCACACCAGTCATCCATTATAAAATACATTTATAGGAACAATTTATACTTGTCAACAAAATTTAAGCAACGCTTTTAGATCAAAATCTTTGTAGTTCAGGAAAAAAAAATCAGTCAATTGTGTTCAAATTTTAATGGATAGTTTATATTGCCATGTGCGACGGAGTGAAAATCATTAAAGATGTTAAGAGTGTGTTTCATTTACATGTATTAATTTATCAGATGCTTTCATCCAAAGCGACTTACAGCTGAGGAATACAGGCAGCGGGTTGTAGCTAATATCAGTGTGTTTATGTATCTCTGTAGGCTCTTCAACAACAGAATTGAATCCAGAGAGCTCTTCAGGACAGACCCCCGATTTGAGATCTGGTGATGCCAGTAAACTCTCTCTGGAATCAACAAACAGGTGAAATAACCAGTGGGAAATAATAAGGTAACAGGGGTAAAAAGCTTTGAGGAATCTGCCCATCAGAGTCCCAAAGAAAAATCAAGCCACCAGTTTGTAAACCACATTCATTTTTATCATCACTTTCAATCATAATCAGCAGTGGGTTTCTGTTGCATTAACTGTGTTTTGTAAAATGACAAAATCAATCTTCTTTTAAACTGTCTTGCCCCTTCTCCACACTTTATATTATTTGCGTCATGCTGACTTTGTTTTTTAATTGCATACCAAAAAAATACAAAAAAAAAGTTTGAATGTAAAACTACTGACATAAATCCTTATGAATGTTGAAAAATACAAGATTTCAGGAAAAATACTGCAGCTTTGACATTTTGCTGTTTCAATATCCACTTTGTTCCTGTAGAGGGCAGCAACAAGAAAATCCACAGCGAATGTGGCAAGGAGGAGATAGACATGAAAACAACCAAAAGAAAGAGCAAGTGCATTTATACCATTGATTAGCTAATCTTCCCCTCTTCATCCTAAAGAAGAGAAATATAATTTGCAAGCAGGCAGTGTTTGACTGTCTGAACTCTGTTTACTGTAAACACAATACAAGAGAGACATTATACTGAGGACATCAAACTTACCTCCTTCCTGTGACTGAAATAAAAATGAGAATTTTTGTATTGAATCCTGTGTAGAGTTCTTGGCCAGTATGAATCTGTGGGTATGATCATAAACTGTTGAACTGTTACTGTAATGAATTGAAATAAATAAATAATAAATAAATCCAACATGCTTTTGGAAACTTGAACCATGTTTTGCGTGTGGGTATGATCATAAACTGTTGAACTGTTACTGTAATGAATTGAAATAAATAAATAATAAATAAATCCAACATGCTTTTGGAAACTTGAACCATGTTTTGCGTTTCTTGACTTTTCCTAAAACTTGAATCATTTTCGATGATAATCATGATATCGCTTTATTTCATGCTTTATTTTCTTGGGCACAATGGACATTGAATCATTACTCGGGAACAGACTTTAAGATTTTGTCTTTTTTGAATTATATAGCTTCTGGATTTGAGATGTGTTTATCTGATTTTAGCAGTGCTTTTGAGCAATATATTCTAAGGTAGAGAAATAGAGGACGATCTGATGGAGATGCACATTATATGGGTATGATAAGGGTACTTGTATTGTCCTCGTCAGGGTTTATGAACATGACTGTTGCCATGACGATTCCATTTCCACAGACATGCTGGAACAACGGCTCCAATCACTGAAACAATCTCAGAGCTTTTTCAGTTGCTCAATGAATACGTCTGTACGACAAGAGAGTGCTTCCAGAGCATAAAAGCATCTCAACATCTTTTGGAAAGAGAGATGAGCAGCTGTTGAAGTGCCTTGTATACATATTCAACAATATTACACTTCAGCGAGGCTTGTTTTGAAGAGAGATACACTGAAAAAAGTATTTTCTTACTCAGTATTTTTGTCTTGTTTTCCAATATAAATATCTACATAAGCATTCTTAATTCAAGATACAATTACTTGAGAAGCAAAATGACTTAAGCTCAAAGTCATGTGTTTCCAGACATCATGGATAACACATGGGCTTCGGAGTAACCTGACGTTTACACTGGGAGCAGCTGGGAAAGTCTGTAGTGAGGCATTTGTTTCTGTGGAATGTGAAGACATAGACAAAACTGGCATTTTTATACAAATAGTCTGTTTCTAGCTGACAATCAGTTGTAAGAATGAAACGATCATTAAATGCAGTCAGTGGCTAGAAGGTTAATATGCTTTGTGTGCCATTTATGTGTAATTCATTAGGTGTACACTTACAGAATTAGAGTATGTAGTTATAGAAACAAACCACTGAATATTATATGCAGCTGATGCACTGAATATATTTCTTCCCTGTAGTGAGGAGATATGGGATGTGTAACTGTAAGCTTTGACATGCTGAGTTCTGTCTTCTTCTCTCAGGGTCACGACTGTCATGTCACAGAGGTCATCAGGAGCTACATCCAGTGATTAGAACATTTATGATATTGATGTGTCTGCATGTTACAACATAAGTTGAATATGTCTTTATTCTGCCTTTTTACTCTCTAAGAAGCTGCTCTCATTGTGTGTGTAGTGAACCATATTTGATCAGATTCAGGGCAGAACCCGGCAACCTTGAAGTACAGATAAGTGCTCTCTGCGTATGTATGTGTGTGAGTGTCTTTGCAGCTCGATGCAGAGAGAGAGCTCTAGGAGGAAACCGTCATCTGCTGTCACCCTGATGTCCAGATATATGTCTCTGGAGAGATCTATTGCGTCTGACCTCTGATCACTCTTCACCAAAATAATCGCTGGAAGATATGCTTCGAGTTTTACATCCATGTGTGGAGATTTTCTAAGTTTATCTATGTTTCGACCAACCAGAATCTTTCTTATTTCTTTCTATGCATTGACATAATTAGTGACCTCTGCTAGAGTATAATTGCTGGTGTTTCTAACATTTACGCAGAGTGGCCTACAAACTCCATCGAGAGTGTTGAAGCTGTCTTCTGCTGATGAAACTGCAAACTATTTTCTTCAGTCATTGTTTCTTTAATTGATCACATTTCTGACTCCTGGTCTTCATTCATCACACCGGGTCCTTTGGGTTTCACTTTAAATTCCCCTACAGTCTTTTCTGGCGTCTTCCTACTGAAATAAACATTTAGTGGAGCAGGCATGGAATATTTTTTATCAGAATATAAATTATAATCAGCAGGTATCAGAATATAAATTATAATCGATACAAGTATATAATACAAGTATAATCAATGCTAGCCTTTCCTGTGAGCAAGTTATTTTGCTATTCTAATCATAATGTATCAGTCTGAATGCATAGGATTGTAAGGGAATGGAGTGTGTGAAGCTCCTCGTCACCTGTCCACTTCTTAAAATAAAAGACGGCAGATAGTGAGATGTAAGGAATGCTGTTGGAGTGGATGGTATGTATATATAGGAACATGAAGCCAGACTCCACAGTTGCTCTGCAGACCGACTCAGCACCTCAAGACTTTGAGTCGTTTTTCACAGAGCCAGAAGAAATCTCCAACACAGGCAGCGAGCATGTGAGTAAAATGTGTTTAATTCAGACCTGAGCGATTTTGAGTGCTTTTGTGTGTTTGTTTGTGTGATTATGTCAATGTTTGGACTAAAAAAACGTATTGAATGTCAGGTCAAAAGTCAAAGTTTGAGATCTGTGATGGGAATCGATCTGAAGTGTTGCTGCTGTGATTTCATTTCTACTCTTTAGATATATTTGAAACAAATTTGTTATATGTTAAATATACTGGAACTGCTAAATATTTAAATTGAGCCACATGAGATGTTATAAATGTTCATTTAGATAAATATGAATATAGTTTGACACTGGACACCTTAAATATTGTTTTGTGGTGCTTTTTATTTTTAAATATTACATTACATTTACATTTAGTAATTTAGCACACACTTTTATCCAAAGCGACTTACAAGTGAAGACAATGGAAGCAATCAAAACTAACAAAAGAGCAATGATATGCAAGTGCTATAACAAGTCTCAGTTAGCTTAACACAAAACACATAGCAAGTTTTTTTTAATTATATAATAAATAAAAAGAAAACAGATAGAATAGAAAAAGAATAGAGCAAGCTAGTGTTAGAGGCCTTTTTTTTTTTGCTTTTGTTAATTGTATAATAAATAAAAAGAAAACAAATAGAATATCTATCTATAATGTCTTCAGATCTCCTGTAAACTGACACTTAAAGCTCAATCCATTGGTGTCAACAGACTGTGTTATTTTTTACAAACATGCATTTTTGATGCAGACACTAAAATGTGACATCTGGAGTTTGACCCGGTAATTGATCTATCAAAAACTGATATATATATTTTGATTTTGGCAGATCAGCTCCTCCCACAGCAATCACATCATCATCAGTGAAGCTCCTCCCACAGCAATCACATCACCATCAGTGAAGCTCCTCCCACAGCAAACAAAGAGGACAGAGAGAAGATGAGAGATCCAACACCCTGCAGAATCAAACACACTGAAGATACTGAAGAACTAACAGGTTGGTGGTGAACAAACATGCATGTTCTTCAGCATCATGTATGAATGAAGAATCACCCTGTTATAAAACTTCAAGCACTTCATCAGATTTAGATAATATTAAGAGCTGTGAGATTAAATAAACAAATGTTCAGTAAAGGGAGGTTTGAGAAACGTTCATATTGATTACATAGCCCCAAAAAAAAACTAAACTTAAATAAATAAATAAACTGCATCAAATTAGATTTACACTGAACAAAAATATAAACGCAACACTTTTGTTTTTGCCCCCATTTTTCATGAGCTGAACTCAAAGATCTAAGACTTTTTCTATGTACAACTGATTAGACAGCATGATTATTGCACAGGTGTGCCTTAGGCATCTTGATATGCCACACCTGTGAGGTGGATGGATTACTACAGTTTTTGCATAATCATTGACAAAACATGACTTACCTATGCCAACAGCTGCATCTCCTAAAAATAAATCAATTTAAAAAACAAACAAACATATAATTCCAAGTTCGAATACAGTGTACAAATTGTAAAAACAATGGTTGCTTCACATAATGTTTTAATAATTACAGCGAGTAATACCTGTCAGTTTACATTTCAATGGAGCTTTTAAGAAATTAAATCAGTGTACTGTCCTTCTCATTCACAATTTACGCAAAGGACATTTTTACAAGCAGTTGTATGACAAATCTAGGGCTAAAAACAAATTTGTTTATATTTTATGTTCCTGTCTCTTCACACATATTACTATTAACCCTTTGACACGTACGATCACACCGGTGTGATCAGTCTTGGCTGGTCCCTGAAGTGTACGATCACACCGGTGTGATTAGAACTTTCAGTGCGTCACGTCATCAACTGTTGAATTTAAATCCGCTTTCGCGCTCTGGCTGGTGCGGAGCCAGATCGGATGCGCTGAGCGCTTGTCATATCACAAATATTCAGTGTTTTCAACCATATAATGCTTATTTTAGGTTTCAGACATTTAAATACACATAAGTACTAGCAAAACCATACATTTACATTACAGTTTGTAAAATGCACGCTGATGT